CCCCCCCCCTCCTCTATCTCTTTCTCTTTCTGCCCGCAGACAAAATTTCTCGCTTTCAACTCAGCGCTGGAACGTTTGTTTACATTCGTATCACGGGCCGTCACGCGCTAAAACGAGGTAGATATTCTAGCGCCCAAATCTCGCTCGGACGTGATAGGGCAGGGCAATTGAAACATCTTGGTAGTACATGCAGTTAGACTATCTTTAATAAACATCACGACGCTGCATTTCTATTGTTAGTAACTTTGTCAACGGCATTCCGATGAATGATAATAATAAAATGATAAAGGGTGATAGATCTAGGGGATCTAGTCAACTCGCGATTATTACTTTTAGGGTATATGGGAAGTTTGATGTCTTGTGTTTCATTTAAGATAAAAAATAAACAACTATAATCGACTATAAATATTTTATTTTTATTTATTTTGGAGGTGAGTGTGGTTTGTTGTCAGCTTGGGGGACGAGATAAAGGAATTTGGACCTTGATAGTGTGTAGCTGAGAGATTGTTTTTAGAATCATTACCTCATAGCCACCTTTGCTAAAACAAAGATTCTTTGTTCCAACTTTCTTCGTTTGCAACTATTTTTTAGATTTTGACGCCTTGGATAGTCTGAAATGTAAACAACTCTGATTGGTAAAACGGAGTCAAAACGGTAACTTCTTGCTCACTTCAAGCTTGTTTACGTAAACAGCTGACTGGGTGTGCCCTGCTAGCTGCTATCGTCTGTTGATCTTCCGGTTTTACACTTGGATTGACTTTAAAAATTCATTTTTATTGTGTTTTAGAGCTTTTAAAAGATTAATTACCCTTCTTCTAGATCTCTCAGAGCGGACTCCTTACCAAGAGGCCACCGAGGCGGTCTATGGGCATGTGTGTAGGTGTGTTGGTGTGTTTGTATACGTGTGTATATGTGTGTGCGTACGGGTATAAAGGTCTCCAGGAGGACCAGGTGATCCAGAGTGGATCGAGTTTTAGTGAATCTGCACTGGAGACCGCTCAGTCCATAAACCACATCATTTTTTCAATAAGTTTGCACAGACAGCTCGTTAGTGCTATTGGTCTGTAATTGGGTGGGTGTGTGTGGTCTTTGTTTGGTTTGGGTGTTGGAATGACAGTGGCGAGACGCCAAGACTCCGGAAAGGAGTGCGACCACCACATGTCGTTGTATATGTCTAGTAGGAGTGTAAGTGTTTCTGAGGGTAAGTGTCTAATGATCTGGTTGTGGATGTCATCCGGTCCCGTTTGCTTGGGATGACTTTTTGGCGAGAGATGTAGCTATTGTGTTTGCGATGTCTACTTGTGTTTCAGCTGTGGTTCCATCCAGCCTCTGGGCGTGCCGAATGGTGTCTGTGCGTCTACCCAAGAATTTTTTTGCTGTTTTGAAAACTTGGTTGAGTGGTGTCTGGCTGTTGATTTTGGAGATGTATTTTTTCAAGGATTGACTTTAGCTCTCCCTGAGGCATTTACGTGCCACAGCTCGAGCCTTTAAATAACTTTTAAATAGCTTTTAACGTTATCTTTCATTATAGTTGTTCTCTTCCTATGTC